AATGCAGCGGTCAACCATCGTCTGCGTCAGTCCCTCCGATTTCATTTTTGCAGAACTGATTCTGTCAAAAGAAAATGGACTGACTGCGGTTGTGAATGAATTTGGAAGACATTCTGTCAGACACAATGACTCACCTGACGTTATCGTCGGCTCCTCCCACCACCACCATGCTGTTATCAGTCCTCAGTTTCTCTCGGAATTCCTCCATTCCTTCCACGGTGCACTGCAGACCGTTCTGACCGACAACAAACAACACTGGGGTCTTCATGTCCAACAGTGGGTCATCTACATCCTGCGAGTCACACAGAGACATGATATCAACCAATGAGTACAAGCACTCAGCAGAAAAAAATTAATCATTCAATAACTAGGTAAATAAGGAACGCTGACCCCTCTTGGACCGTTGACTGTAAGCAGGGGGAAGCCGAGGCAAACGACGGCAGTCAGGTATTCCATGAGGGAAACCTGCGGAGTAGTCACCATTAAATCGGCTGAAAAGGCCTCCGTCAACCCACGACAGAAAAATACAAGAACTTTTAAAATACGGGAAATCTTACGTGACAAGCTATGAGCGCGCCAGCATTCCAGCCGACCAAGATGATGGGTTTGTGGGGGAAGTGCCTGCGAACCTGTAAGTTTGACGGGCAGAGTCAATCCTTGTCGGAACATCGGAATTCGACATGGTCTAATTGTTTTCATGGTGGTAATCACATCAACACTTATTCAACCTTTATTTATCCTGGTAAAGCAATTGAGCACAGATTCTCATTTTTAAGGTTGAATCGTACAACAAAGCAAAAGAGAATGTTTTGAAATCTGGGTGCCCTATCAGAAAAATACAATAGATCATACTGACAACAGCACAAATGGAAAAGTTCCCCCCCACCCCCTCCCAAAAAAGCGGATAAACACAATTCTCTCTACCTCAATGACCTTTGCACGAACAGTTCCCAGCATGTGTTCCAGACATTGGGTAATGCCAATATTGGCGCCACTGGTGACATGAGTGTGTATGGGGATGACCTGACACACACAAACAGCCGTTATCAGCACTTTTGGAGAGACGACAGGAGCAGAATTACTTGTAACATCAGACTATACACGTGACACCTTGCCAAAACAGGAGAGCTGCGACTGCCAGAATCTCATTCGTCGTGATGTTGACACGGCTGGATTGGTTGGGCTTGACGGTGCTATTAGGATGAGTGGTGACCCGGGAAGCTTGCTCTGGAACATTGAACAACAAGCATTTTTTTTGGGGGGGGGCGGGGGGGGTGGATGGGCATAATGCACTACACCAAGTTTTAACAAGTGTTGAATTGTACCGGCTTGTTTTGAGACAGAACTCCAACAGCTGGATCCCACGGACGCTTCAGTAGCAGTGAAAGGGCCTCGGCACTGGGAGATCCCGTCTTCGCGGCCGGAAGCAGCATTCTGTCGATCAGCGATGGCAGCTTCCGAAACAAAAGACGAAAACGGCACGTCATCACAAATACTAGAGCAGAGAGTCTCGCAATCGTCCGACATGAAGCCACCTTGCTTTTGAGAGTCTGCAGAACATCCAAGTAGGCAGCCAGCATGGCGAGACTCAATGATTCAATCAGGGTGGTGTGCAACCACTGCGTCAGCTTGGTCTCCCAGTTGACACTGGCTAAGGCGTGACGCACTTTTCTGGCACATTTGTCCACTGCAATTCGGCGTAATATTGGCTCATTGGATGCCTTTTGAGAATGGATCACACACACACACAAAACTCAGCATGACACTGCATGGAATTAATCCGTCAAATGCAGCTTGATTTGTTGGCCAAAAACCTATCAATCTTTTGCCACACACCTGCCACCAGGTGGCAGACTGAACAACTACACAGGGAAGTCATAACGCGAAAGTCAGCGATAGCAAGTTTGACAAAAAGCTTTGGCTGGTTACTACCGACTGCTAATCACATGGCGGCTTCACTCCTAATTCAGTCACTGCAGCTTCCATCATCTCACCTCCACGGCGGCGAATAAGCTACACTTACACTTAAGTATCGTTCTCATGAAGGGATTACGAGGAGTAATTAACAGAGGGAAAGCCGGAGAAGCCACGCTACTTAGTAAGGTAACGTTATGTCATCGTGAAAGACCGGAAGTAAAAGTGCTTGGGTGACTGTGTACATTTCAGACAAAATAAAGTGAGAAAAGGTGAGTGAGCAGTCAGTGTGTGTATGTACAGTACACATATCATAGAATAACTGAACTGTATGTCATTATCATGATATAAAATGGCCTATATCATGACAGAATATTTATTTTCCATATTGCCGAGCACTCCCTACAACAGGATTAAAAGGTCACTCTCTCCATAATTACATTACAGTAGGTTTCAAAGACATTGGGCGCTGTCTTGTCTTGAATTATAGAAACACACAAAACAAGCACAACTTACATGTTCATTGGCCAAGCGGGCTAATCTTTCAGCCTGAAGTGCTTTTAGGACTTTATTGAACAGTTTGGTCTGAGCGACGGACCACATCGTCCTGAGAGAACAATTCGGTCGTAAACACACAGTCTGATAGAGAGACGTTTCTATGGGGACTTGCCCCATGGGGTTGGCTTACTTGTTGATATGTTCCTCCCAGTCATCAGGAGGAGGGGGACTCTCCGCAACAGTGCGAGCAAAAAGGACGTGCCGCTCGCACTCCTTCATCACACTCTGAGCTTTGTGGTTATCATACAGCGGAACCGGCGTGGGGGTGACCGTCTCCACATCGATTACAGTTTCTGAATCTCTGCAATAGAAGACAAAATCAATCACAGTGAAGATTCTCGACAGCCCTTGCGGTCATTGTTTAAGGAATTAGGGCTGGGGCTATTATATATTTGCACCATCAATTCTACCCAAATGATTAATCAGATTAATTTTGATGTTGCATTCATAAACAAAATAAGTGAGGTGCATGTGTTATTGTTGTACACATTTGCAATCCTTACAACCCTGACACCAATATCTTTGACTTTGCGAGTGTGTGGCTTCAATAGGTGGAGCCTAGTCTGGTGAGTGACATGGGAGCTGGTTAAACTGGTGGTGGTAGGCTACATTAAATTAGCTAATGATCTTGTTTTTTGTGAAATACACCAAACTCTGGAAATGTTCTTTTATGCAGTCTTTCCGTTAGCCTCATGCCAAGTTATTTCTACATGGAGTGGTGTTTTGAGTCTGCAGTTGCATTAGTCCATGTGAAAAAAATGATCACTGCAAAGCTTAAAGGCAGAGATTTTGCTTTACTATTTTTTTAAATGAATTATTCAATTTATTCCAATAATCAATTCTGCTCTATGAAGACCAACTCACTGAGAGACTTCTGGCTGCCGCCGAGGGGTGACAAATAGCGTTCTTGTGGGCCGCGCGCTGCTGGCGTCCGGGTGAGCATTCCAGGGTTTGGCATAGCTATGGTCGAGACACACCAAGTCTAGCTCCCGATCATGAGCCGACAGCTGGAAGAGCAAGGATGTCCCCATTTTCCGTGCCGAAATCTGGTAGTCCTTATCCCAGCCGCGATGCATCCTCCTCCCGGGCCCTAGCAGACCCTGGGAAGGGTTCCACAACCTCTTGGGCTTGGTGTGCAGCTAAAGGAGAGTGACGAGGCAAAAAACACTTTACAGAGGGGTCTTTGGTTTACGAGGTTCCCGACATTCATTGTTTTGAGGTGAAGAATTCCCACTGTGGTTAGGAGTAGAGCAAGAGAGAGAAATAGAGATGCATGCTCTGGCATAGAAGCTACAAGGCACTCTTTGGAAAGGCCACGCCATTTAAAGGCACACACACAAACGTTATCAAGCGTGTGTTAAACTTTGGGCTTTCACATCATTAATCCAGTTTATTCTCGTTCATTATTTGGTTATATTTTTAAAAAAACAGTAATGTTTGCTTGTAGGTAGATGTAGCTAATATACCTTAACGAATTAATCTCATGAACCATGGTAGGGCTGTACATGTAACAGGACGTAGTCAAATGTGGTGTGACAGTAATCTGACCCAACTAAAGACATTCTTGACTTATAAAACAGTCCCCATTAACATTACCGTAACTGAATTATTTTATTAATACTGGGAAGGAAGGAAAATGGAATTTATAGTAACTATCGTACTTACCGTCATTGAGTTGTGAACGTGACGCCGTTGTTTGTGCATACATAAACACCTCAATATTAAAAGCCAATGCACCACTACAATTGTTACTATGTATGTGACAGCTCCAATTACATTTAAATTGTACTTTACAATACAATTAGTCCTCTATCAACGAGTCTGTGGAGAACTCTCAGGTTCGTGAGATACAATGATCAAAAAACCATTTTCAGAAGCTTTGCAGGTGCTTTGTCTTCTTCCCCGAACACCACCCATGCCCTTAATCAAAATAAGGCCATCGTAATTAAGAGGTTACGTGAACTCTTTATGGGCTTGAACGTACAATGAACGTACATCGCAAGGCACCACTAAATCAAACGGCTGCTTGCTCTGTTACTAAACACTCGATACCCGCCATAAAGAAAGTGGGTGACTTGTGGGTGGGTTGGCCTTGCTAGCTAAAGTTAGCATAGCTGGCTAAAAGCTAACAAGCCCCCTTTATGCCGCTCACCTTTGCCTCTATCGATCCATTTATGGTCGCGGTGGTTCAAAGGCTTCTTGCGTGCCTAACTAATACGAACGTGTTCATATTTAGGCGTAACTGATACACATTACACTGACGACACAGGCTGCAGGCGCTAGCTTGCTTTCGTTTTTACTGTGTGCGGTGTTGCCATTTACAATCGGCTCCGTCCCTTCTAGGCTTCGCGGTGAAAACCACGTTGGCTAACTAGGCTCAGTGGGCTGCTTTAGAATGGAACTGGCAACCCGAGTTATGGCGCGTGAGGGCTACCATAAAACGAGGGCTGGATTTCACTTTGTTGGAGTGGAGTTCGTCTCCCCCCCCCCCCCCAAAAAAAAAAAAACACATTGTGGATGGTGTGTCAGTTCACTCTATTTTAATCGTGGGCAACTGGAAATTAAGTACTTTGTTTTGGTCACTGGTCTCCAGTATCACATAATTGTGTGAAAGCTGAAGAGGAGCAGCAATTAGTTCAATATGTCATTGAAAAAATTATTACATTGGACATGGTCAAGGGATGTTAATCTTCTACTCGATGAAAGCTAATGTTGACAGTTACCCTGTGGAGTTAACCCTTTCAGGCACCTTGTAACCTGATAACGTGATAAGCTGTCAACTGTGGTAACCGCTGTCTTTCGGGGACAACCCTTGATCTTTGAGGGTTTGGTACTCTCACTGCCAAAAATGCGGTCTCGTGTGTGACATTTTCTATTCATTGACTTAAAGAGGTTGTGACCACCCCTGACTTGATTTTATTTCTTGCAAAAGATTGTTCACTTAAATCCTTTAAGTCCCAAGCCTCTTTGGAGTCTGATGAGACGCATTGCAACAATGGTAAGTTTAAAGTGCGTGGGGCTTTTTGGGGGGTTGTTTCTTTATATTTTTACCTGATATAACCAACTTTGGATGGCAAAAACGCTGTTCACTACTGTCAAAATATACTAAATAACTTTTTTTGGTTGCCCCTAGAGAACATACCCAACTCTGGCTTTGCTACTATGCGCAGTACTGTCACTTGGAAATGGTGCTTGCTATGTTAAAGTGCATGATGCAGGTAACACGGCAATACTTGGTGCTCTGTGTTCATTAAATACTGTAATTGCTGTAGCTCCGCATGTTGTATTATTATTCATTAGACGCTGCATTTTGCCTGGACGACGTTGATAATAAAACGCACCCAGTTGGATCATCTTGGATAAACAGTGATTGCATGTATTGTACCTGCAGTAGTTGCTGCACCACGTGAGCAAAATAATAAATATATCAAAAATCTAGCATTTATATCGGAGTACAGTATACAGTTATGGACTATTTATTTACTGTGTTCCCAGGTACAGCATTCCAAGACGATTCCCTGGTTATTGCGTGGCCGTGTTTAACAGATCAGCATGTGAATTCAAAGTGTTCAGGAGGGATGACCACTCTGTTGAATGTCCATTTTTTTCTGCCGTGGGAAAGTGATAGAGCAATGTCACGCTTCACCGACCCTCGCCAGGAAATAAAGCCATGTATTTAAGATTACATACCGGCAGTTGGACTACTCTTAAAGTGCAGCAACCCAAACTGATGGAAGAAAACATTATATATAACAATGAGATAATTAAACAATCAGGTCAAATGTGACAATTGAATAAAACACGCAATTCCATTTTGACGCCACCCTTCTTATTCGCGTGCATCAACCAAAATAGCAAGCTCTGCAAACAATAATTTTGAATAAGGTGTGTTGGAAGAGGGAAACAGATTTTTTTCCCCCCTTCCCAAATTGCAGTCTTTGCGATTGGAAAATTGCATTCTACTACACTTCGATGTCAATTTGAATTTAGTAAATTGTTCAACCCGACTTAAAAAAATTATATATATATATATATATATATATATATATATATATAAATGTGTGTGTATTTTGCATCACCTGATGGGATCTACTGCCACACGCTGCGCTCTGCCACAAACTGCTCACCACAAAGAGTACAGAGAAGAGAATCTTTTGTGGTGAGCTGGACTGACTCACTTCAATTAGAGCTTTGTGTACTGTATACGAAAAAAGGAAGAATCAAACGTACCTTTTTAATGGATGAGATGCAGGTCGACTAAGATCTTGAGACAACTTGGACGTTTTCAGGTATTGAATGGGAAAGTGTTACTGTGATGGTAACCGTGGTTACGGGAGGCAGTCAAACCGCTGTTCTACTGAACTGGTGGGGGTGGTGGCTGAGGAGGATTTTTGCTCCATTAACAAGATTGTGAGAAGACAAACAAAAAGGCAAAACCATTAGAAGCGAGAGTTGGGAACCTTTTAAGTCCAAAGGCCACACTAAATTGAAATACATGGTGCCCCGTTAGGTTCCACCCCCCCCCCCCCCCCCCCCCCCCCGCGTTGCCATCCAATTGATGCAGTGTGACAAAAGCAAACAGACAAAACAAGCCATGAGAAGACTAAAAATAAAAAAAATGTGACTTTAATTCAATTTTAACATGCTCGCGTATCAAAATAAATAGATGGCATGACCTCAAAAGGATAAAAATCAAAAAGCAAGATGAAAATAAAAGGAGACCAGTGTAACACAAATGGCGACCCCATGCCCATACAATCCGTTTCGATAAGACACCAACGACAAACGCTCGCAGTAGTACGAGAGCCCTTGGCCTCTCTAGTGTTTGATACAAAAGTAAAGTGCTGTTGGTGGTTTGCTGTCGGGTGAAGAAGCACTTATAGAGACAGACGAGAACACGTGGCATTGTCCGTCAAACCTTGAAGGAATGTTCTTTAATGGCGGCGCTCGGTGGTTTACATTGCATGGCGTGTTCGTTTGATTGTGACTCTGTGTGTGTGTGTGTGTGTCCACACCTTTTTGTCTTTGTGTGGCCCAATGGAGAGACGACAACTACGGTCTACACATCAGAAATCTGGTGTGATGACAACACGCACAACATCAACTCAAACTTGACAGCACACCACTTAGCAGGAAAAAAAACAACCAAAACAATGCCCCTGACCCCCCCCAAAAAAGCATCATGTCTGCACCAAAGATCAGTAATCTCCCTCATTAGACACCCCTTATAAAAAAGGGATTTTTAGATAAATAAAAGTAGTTAAAATAACCGCACTGTTCAAGTTTTTTTCTTTGCTATACACACGCACACAACCAGCGGGCATTTTCAAAGGCGGTTTGACCGGTTGATGAAGAGTACCACGATGTGTTCAAGGCCAAACAATTCCCCGGATGCTGTTAACAAAACAAAGAAGCAGTTTTTTTGTTCTTTAAGTACTTTCTGGTAGGACAGAAGTGGCACCATGATTCCATGAGAATCAGGAAGTAGTGTATCCAATTAAGTCTCTGGCACCCGCTTCAGTGCTGTGGCGGAGCTGATGAATACGTCGTGTAAACCACGCATGCGCCTGAACGCATCACACAAGGCAAAGAAGCCAATCCAGGCAGCGTTCCTCTTGTTCGGCAAGCAACTCTCCTTGGGAAAACCGTGCACGCCGGCGAGCATTGAATGTGGGAAACAAAGCAAGATGGCGCTAGATGATTTGCGGTGGGGTAGGGGTGGGGGTGCTCAGTGCACCCCCGCCTGCTATTTTGCACTTTTCTTGGACGCAGCCCTTCTCTTTGCCTG